TGAACAGTAACTCCATGAGTGTAACATATTCCACCAAAACAGAATCAGTATCACACCAAGACTGTGTTCTCAAAGTTCTAAAATCTGTAAGATATGCACAGTGCAGCTCTTTGGATGTTCCCCAAAATTGTGTATAACCTAGAGGCATAGTAAGTAAATTTCTGTGTTACTGCATTTCTGAGAGCTTTTGCTAGTATCTAAGGGCTTCTTTAAGTCCTCATGAAGCTAGTTGCCTATAGGTGGGATCATGTAGTGTAAAAGTAGTTCTGACCAGCATGCCAGGTAAATTCATGGTCATGTTTAGTCATTTCTACACTCAGAAAGCAACAGTAACATGGCCTTTGTGTCATGCTTGGAGACCTACAAGATTTTCCAGAATTGTTTTTGTGTGTACAGTTACAAAAAGTCCTCAATCCATGTTATACAAGAGTGTCAAATCCTTCACAAGTGCATAATTTCTCTTCTCTGGTGTCCCCCATGAACAGAGAAATGAAGACTTTATGTCTCAGAATGTGGGATATCTCACTACATTTGAATTATGCTGATTATTCTGAGTTTATATTAATAAAAATCTTTAAATTTCACTGTCTTATCTGTATGTGGTACATAACTATGTAAGGTTAGAAGAGTTTTAGAGAATTTAAAATATAGTTAGTCAAAGAATAGAGATCTGATTTTTGTGTTCGTCTTTCTAAAAGATAATCTGAGTTACATGATTCCTATGATAAAAACACTCAGTAGTGATCTGAAATGGTTTTCATATAGCATCCTATACCATGATTTTAAACAATAGTTTCTCAAGACGTTCCAGAGCTGGACACAAATGAGGACACTCTCTTTCTCCCAATGGCATAAAGCTCCCAGGATACCAGGAATGCCAGAGATCCATATTTAAACTCATCAGAGAATCTGGTCCACCATGAACTCCTGGCAAGTGCCAGTTTGGAGTGTCACAAAGAGGCCATGTCAAGGCCCAAAATCCAGACTTATTTGATAGCCCCTAGTAACGTAATAAAAAATATAAAATCATAAAGCATTTTTTATATGTTGTAGTTAACCCTGGTTCTGAAAGATGAAAGATGAAAGATTCTTGATCATAAGGGTCATTTGAAAAATGTGTTTCAGATTTGAGCATAATGTTTTCAGAATCAGTAATTGTACAGTTTGTGTTTCCAAAATTTCATTTCACTCTTGGATTCTGCCTCTAAATATAAATCTCTTCCTCCTTCCTTGTCCTGTTCTATATATATAGCACACCCACATGTGATAAAGCCTTCTGCCATAGCAGTAAGGCAAAACAGGGAAGGGGGGGGGGGAACTGTACCTAACCTGTGGGAGCTCTGAATGCACTTGGCTGCTGCTCATAATGCTCCAAAGATATAATTATCACATGCATGATGAGTACTACACCTGCCATGTCTCTTTTGCTTAAATAAATAAAAGATTCCTTAAATGCCACACAGCTCCCTGGGAAACCATTAGCCAGAGAGGTCACCAGAGGACTTCACACTCCCTGTCCTTCACCTTCCACCAGGCAGGTTCCCCATAACATCTCTCTTGCTCTCTTTTTCTCCCCTCCCGCCCCAACCTTTTCCTGTGAAAGTCCTTGCCATCTCCTTTTCAGTGCCCAGCTTTCTACTTCATTGCAATTTTTTCTTCCTTTTCTTTCCCATCTTTCTCTGAGCCTTCTTTCCTGTGGCATGTAAATCTGATCCATTACAGGCTGTAGGTAGCGCTTATCAAGCAAGAACTCTTAGTAAGAGGTTGGGATAGCTTTAACATTAAGGATGTGCTTTGTAGGTGCTTCGCTCATCATCCTCATTTTGTCTCTGCAGCACAATTTAGCATTCTGTTCAGCCAGTGCATTATTTCTTCTTTATCAAAAGAGTTCTTGCGTGTGTCTGTAACCACACTGCTGCCTAGTATGTGGCCTAGACAAGCTGCCTGTGACACAGCAAATTCAGTGCAAAGGCTTTTTTTTTTTGGCTTGGACCATCTGCTGGTGAAATGTTCCCATCACTAAATCTCTTCCACATAAGGAAACTGACCCATCACTGATTACTTGTCAGCGACTGATGCCCTCAAACAGGGACATGACCATGTTTAAGACTGCTACAGAAAGCAGTGTTAGATGCTTTGAGAATTACTTTGTCCCATATCTACTAACAGTGAATCCATTTTTAAGCCAGTACAGTAAGGCCTTTGCTGACTGTTGTCAACAATGAATCACTTTCCTATCATAGAGGGAACCTTAAGAAATTCTTCAACCCAGCAGAAATATCTTGTTCATAATCACTCCTCAGATTCTCATTTCTTCTGTTATTGGTAGTGGATTTTGCAGCTTCCTAAATCACCTCTGACTCGTGTGTCATTGCATCCACATGCCTTTATTTCTCTCTGTGCACCATTATGTATGTACCAAAAGACAGCCAAAGAGTTCAAAGGCCTTATAGGACTTGTGTCAAGCAGAGCAAGATAGTGGTTAGAGAATTGGGGTCTATCTCTAGCTTTGCCTATGACTTCTTATAAAAGGCTAATGAGATGATTTAGCTGAATAAATCCAAGCGCACGGAATTAGATATTTAAACACCTATATAGTTGGAACATGGCCAAATTTTCAGGAATGCTTAATTCCCAAAATTTCCTTTATAGCAACAGAATCTGTTATTGTTCAGATCCTCTTGAATTCAAACCAATTTACATTGATAAGGAAGACAAATAAGTGTTAGTATCTAAGTTTGAAAATATCTGCCACACACAGTTTTTCCTTCAATTGCTTGAAAAAAAAAGAAAGCATTATTTTCCCCATGGTTTCATAATGTGCTTATATATCCTGAAGTGACAGGTGATGTGTGAAAGCAACAAGTCTGTCTATATAAAGTCATACATATTTTAATAGAAGAAAAAAACCTAGTGACTAAAAAAGAAGAGTCATACTTGGAAAACAAATTTGGTAGCAGATGTAGAGTGCCCCTAGCATTAGGCCAGCCTTTTACCCAAGAGAAAAGCTAGTTCACTGTTGTCTGCAGGTGGTAGAATTCCATCATGGCATGATGGCTTCATGTTTCCCACCAAAAAACAAGATTTGTATACCAGGGAATTGTAGCCATGCCCAGTGCCTACACTCACTTACAAGGGATTCAAGAGGAAAACAGCATCCATTTAAAAATTAATTGAGCTTAACTTTGTTTCTTTCTGTTGCTGTTTTCATAAAAGCCTGGGAGGTATGGGACAGCTTGTGAGACTTTAATGGCAACTCTTATCTTTCAGGCATCGGATCTCAAAATCAAAGTTCAGGTAAGTAAACCCGACTTTTTGCTTTTCCTCCTTTCCACTGGTTTTGGTCATTACTTTGTGACATGGTTTACTTCTGCATCTGTAGGACACGGTGGTGATTCTGCCAAACTTGTCAGATTTTAGTCAGTCATCTACCAAAAATCAAGATCTTTTTTCTTAGTTTCATACTGAAATAAGGCACAGGGACTACTGACAGTATTTCACTCAGAAGTACCTATCTGAGTGCTACCTACATATCTCAAGGCATAAAATATAAAAGCAGAAGAAAAAAAAGTTCAACCACATAATTGTACTACATCCATCAACATCAACCCTGTCAGCTCAAGGTTCTCTTTCCTACACTTTTTTGCACTACTCTTCTTTGCTTGATTGTAAATTTTTCAATTGATGAGGGTTGCACCTCACTTGTGAAATTCTCCCTTTGACCATGGGACGCGTGAAGTTTTTCTGGTGGTATTTGTTTTTCTGTTGACTTAAAGCTTTCAAAAATGTGAAGCAGTCCCCAGGTGGTCATCTGTGGGTTTCCATTGGAAGGGCTGACTGAACTCATGGAACTTGACTGTTGAAGTCCCTGTTCATTTCTACCCCTTCACTAGGAGACCAGCTGCCTCTGTAACTCTGAATTCAGAGTCAATTTCATAAAAAACTAAATGAATTTTCAGAATAACTGGAACAAGTGAGCAACTCTGTCCTTCAGCTTACCTAAATAATGAACAGTAATGTCAATTCAGGAATGCACATATGCATTCATACTGTCTATATGCATCCCTGTGCAATGAGTTTCATGCATGATCACATTCCTACAATTCGTGGATTTATTTGTATATAGATGTAAGCACAAAAAAACACTTGTATGATCACATGGTCATGTGCATGCACGTTTGTGCACAAGTGCACCCAAAAGTGAGTGGGACTGCTGATAATTTAATGACAACATGAATGTCTAAGTGTTGTACCCATTTTGAAAGCTGGGAAGATCATTTGTTGTCCCAAATCCACTGCGAAACACACAACCCTTATTAAATGTTTACGCTAGCTAGACTGGGTGCCTTTATAAATTGCATAGCTAAAACATGATTACCTGTTAAAATGTTGTTGCAAAATTTTTGGCCAGTGTGCTATGTTCACATTGCCTGCCTTTGGTTGATATAGATAGAACCACAGAATCATAGAACAGTTTCGGTTGGAAGAGACCTTCAAGGCCATCGAGTCCAACCTTTGTCCTAGATCTACCAACACCACTAAACCATGTCCCTAACTACAACACCTACCTAACTCTTAAACACCTCCAGGGATGGTGACTCTACCACCTCCCTGGGCAGGCTGTTCCAATGCCTGACAACCCTTTCAGTAAAGAAATTCTTCCTAAAATCCAGCCTGAACCTCCCCTGGTGCAGCTTAAGGCTGTTTCCCCTCATTCTATCGCTTGTTACCAGGGAGAACAGACCGACCCCCACCTCACTACAGCTTCCTTTCAGGTAGTTGTAGAGAGCGATAAAGTCTCCCCTCAGCCTTCTCTTCTCCAGACTAAACAGCCCCAGATCCCTCAGCCACTTCTCATACGAGACATGCTCCAAACCATTTACTAGCTTGGTAGCCCGCCCCTGTACCCTCTCCAGCACCTCAAGGTCCTTTTGCGGAGAGGGGCCCAAAGCTGATGCTGAACTCTGACCTCAAGCATGGCCATAGTTTATCACTGGAAATAATACATAAGAGAAGACTAGGCAAGGAGAGTTCTCTCTTCCTGTAATGTTGTGTAAATGTGCATCTCTTTAGAGTACTGTGTTCAGCTCTGGGGCCCCCAGTGTAAGCAAGACATGGACCTACTCCAGCAGGTCCAGAGGAGGCCACGAAGATGATCAGGGGGCTGGAGCACCTCGCCTACAAGGACAGGCTGAGAGAGTTGTGGTTGTTCAGCCTGGAGAAGAGAAGGCTCCGGGGAGACCTTATAGTGGCATTCCAGTGCTTAAAGGGGGCCTGCAGGGAAGGTGGGGAGGGACTCTCGATGAGGGAGTGTGGTGATAGGATGAGGGGTAATGGTTGCAAACTCAAAGAGGGGAGATTTAAATTAGATATGAGGAAGAAGTTCTTTACTGTGAGGGCGGTGAGACACTGGCACAGGTTGCCCAGAGAAGCTGCAGCTGACCCCTCCCTGGCAGTGTCCAAGGCCAGGTTGGATGGGGCTTTGAGCAACCTGGTCTGGTGGAAGGTGTCCCTGCCCATGGCAGAGGGGCTGGAACTGAATGTTCTTTAAGGTCCCTTCCCACCCAAACCATTCTGTGATTCTATGCACACACACACACACACATATATGTATACAATATCTATATAAAACTATTAGATTTATTATACAGTGGCAAGTGTTGCCTGGAAACTGGTTGCTATGCAAGTTAAGTTCTGAAGAGTAGGAGGTGTGTAATTAGCTTTAAATATCTTCTGTGGTTAGTAATTACCCTCAGAAATCAGTGACACAAGGGGATATGTTCATGGAAGGCAAACTTTAAAAGGTCTGTTGATTAGCAAATGGTATCCTTAGTTCCAGGCATGAAGGTGAGATGCTGAGGTCCCCCAGGTTTTATCTTTCTGTTCAGAGTTAGCCCTCATATTGGGGTTACTCCTGAACATTGCTGAATGTCAGAAATATTCCATGGATTTTATTTGATCTCATTTCTCCAAGGCCTTAAGCCAAAGGTTCATGGCATATAGTGGCCATTTTCATTGACTATACTGAGTCTGGGCAAGGTCCTATTGCAGGCCACAAGCATTAAATACAAGAATAATAATTATTTTTGTAGGAACTGGGCTAAAAAAACCTCTCAGGGTATCTGTGATGGATGTCTTAATCAGATTAAGACATTGCTTGAAGAGGTTTATTCACCTCTAAATGTTTCAAATTGGCTTAGGACTAACTTTATTCCTACAGCTAAAGGAAGGATGATCACTGTCAACTCAGATGAGAATGAGAAAACATTTCTCAGGGTGAACTTTAAAGATATTCTCTACCACTCTTGAACAGTAAATCAAAACTGGAGGCTCTCGTCAGAGATTTGCAATAGCCTAAGGATCCCTATCTGAAAAGAACTTTTTCCTTTCCAATTTTTCAAGTCGCTACTGGCGCCGATGGAATCGATTCTGCAGAAGAAAGTGCCGTGCCGCTGTCAAGTCCAATGTTTTCTACTGGTTGGTGATCTTCCTTGTGTTTCTCAACACCCTTACTATTGCCTCTGAACACTACAACCAGCCAGACTGGCTTACAGAGGTCCAAGGTGAGGAGAGACTGATGATTCTGTTTATCATGGTCAGCATTAAAAAAGGGGGCTGAGGGAGGAGCCAATGCATTAGACCACACAATATAAAAGGAGCATACACAGCTCCAAATGGTCCTCTGTCTGTGGAGGATATTAAGTACTACAAAATATCTGCCTACAATGGGAGATGTTTCAGGGAAAACATAAGGTACTCATTTCCAGCCAAAGCAGTGTTCCACTGGGTGTCGGTGAAATCAGGAGGTAATGCTAAATATGTATTTGCAGCAAGTGGATTTCCCATTTATGGATAGCTATAAGGACCCACAGGTTCTCTAAGGTTTTCCCTGAAATGGCATTTATGATAAATTCTAGTTATCAGGGAAGTGAGGAACAGTGATTTGTAAAGATCTTCTGTCTGCAGAACAGTTGAATCCTCACTGGAGGTGAGAGCAGCTGAAAGGCTTAATTAAGCAACAGTAGGTAGCACAGCAGCTCTTCTATTCCCACTCTCATCTGCAGATGACAAGTGTGATGGGAGGTTGCGCACAGGAAGGCATGTCCCTGCCATGGAGGTTGTGTGGTTGTGTAATACATCACAGCTGTATGTGCAATACATAAGAATCTTTGTAAGCATCTTTGTAAAACATTTCTGTGAATGAGATGTCTACGCTTTTGAAGTCCATTCTTTGACCCAAGCTTATATGAAGTTAACCTTTCTGCTTGATCCCAGAAGGGTTTTCTTATAGGCAAGGGCCAATGGTTAGCTGTGATGATCTTTTGACTAAGTTTTATTAATCTGTTTCTGTTTGTTTTTCATGAGACACTGCCAATAAGGTGCTGCTAGCTCTTTTCACGGCAGAGATGCTGCTGAAGATGTACAGCCTTGGTCTCCAGGCCTATTTTGTGTCCCTCTTCAACCGCTTTGACTGTTTCATTGTGTGTGGAGGAATCCTGGAAACAATTCTGGTTGAGACAAAGATCATGTCACCACTGGGCATTTCGGTGTTGAGATGTGTTCGACTCCTAAGAATATTTAAAATCACAAGGTACTTTTGTGTTTCTTTGGGAATGAAGGAGGACTACTGCTCAATGCACAAAATATATAGGTACAAGTCACTCACATCCCTATTTTTTCACTTTTTTTACCACTAATGAGGTAGTGAGAGTGCTAGGTTGACAGTCCTTACCTTCTGAAGTCTGCAGCAGGATGGGAAGGGCTGTACAGACTGGATATCCCTGATGTGAGTGGTAAGGATTGGCAAGGAGTCTGGCATAGGAGGCTGAAGCCACTTGATACCATCCAGATTGTTAAACTGAAATCTGGAAGGATTTCATGTGAGCTGATCTTGGGCTTTTGTGGTTCTCTACAAAAGACAAAGTGAAAGCAAATCAGCAGATAGTCTTGTGACCTTTTAGTTTGCTTTATGGTGACAGAAAGGAGCCTGAAAGACTGCTTTGAGCCAGAACAGTGTTTGATTGAGGAGCCCATGCTAGCTCCAAAAGACTCAACAGTGGCCTGTAGGAAATAGTGTCAACACTAGCAGCTATGAGCAAAGGATATTGCCAGGCCTTCTGCTTCAGAAGAGTCCAGAACGGAGCAGCAGCTTTACAAAAAACACAGACTTTTCCAGACTCCAGTGTCCCCTCTTTTTCCTTTTCCTTCTTTCTTCTCTCCCTCTGCATAAAGGCACTGTGGTGTCTATTAAACAGTTGCCACTTCTTGCAGTCAGGTGCCTCCAAAACACTAGCTTGGTTTGACAGGAGTTTTTCAGCTTGAGGGTAGGTTGTAGGAGAGATCAGCTCCCAACTTACTCAGATGGGAGCTCTTGGAAAAAATCTATCCAAGTGCTCACCCAAAGCAGCACAGGGTTTGCCTTTTCCCATGTGGGCACAAGTCAGCACCTTACAAAAAGCTTGCCTGACGTGGTGAACAAGTGCATTTTCTGCAAGTTCAGCTATGAAAATATCCCTAGAATTGCTCTAAACTCCCCTAAAGGAAATTTCTGACAAATTTGAGATAAAAAAACCTAGTGCACAAGAAAAACAAGACCAAAATTGGAAGATAGTCAAGATGGCAGAGCTGAGAGGCAGAAAAAACAACAGACTTGGACTTGTGCATCATACAAGATTTACGCTTAAACCTTCTGAGTCTCAGCTCTCTGGCAGGGTGGATAGTTTTCAGGGTCAGATGGCAGAGACAGAAAATCAGTTTACAGTCTCAGAGAGACAGGCCAAAAAAGAAAGAAAGGTGGTCTGTTCAGACTTCTGATCATAGAATAGAGAAAAGTGTTCCAGCTAGCAACAGTTTGCAGCAAGAAAGTAATCTTTGCCCTTCAGAAATAGTGGGGATCTCTGGGCTGGTGACTGTTTTTCCTGGATCTTTGGGTCTGAAAGCTATCATCACTGAGTCCCAGGCCTGGTTTCTGAGGAAACCAGTAGCTGTTTCAGGCATTGAGTAATCAGATACACCCAGGGCAACATACCAATAGCTATAAAAGCATAAGCTTCAACATAGCATCCTGGAGAGGTCATTGTTTTTTCAAGACATTTCTCCACTCCTACACAAAATACATAATCTAGCTAAGAGAATTCTTTAATAGAAAGGCAAATGCTGAGAGAGTATCATTAATACTTTAGGAAGCATGAGCTATTGGAGTACTCAAATATTCCTAAACCTTCTGGCAGAGATGTAGTGTTGGAATCAACCAGCAGTTGGACTAGTTATATTTACCTTCATTTTGCAGCAAAACTAAAATATGACTTTGCACGGAAGCAAATGGATATATTTACCTGGTGGTGTTAAGTTACCTGGAATATATCTCCCACTGTACATGGGTCTGTGTGTAAAGAACAGAGCTGAGGAATAACTCATAATGAATAACGTATTAATTGGATTTTGCCTTCTTTCCTGTTCCTAAAATATTGGCAAGTAGGTTGCAGTAGTCTCAGATTTATATGTGTTTTTTAATTATTCATAATTTTCTTCATGATTTTTCCCCTCCGTGGGTGAAGTTCACCCTCATGTGGAAGGCCCTAGCACAAGCCTCCAAAGCAGTATTTTAGGCCCACTCGTGTCTTACTGCAGGAGAGAGTATTCTGGTATTAAAACAAAACTTTTACCTCTGATGTTCTACAGTAAAATACAAATGTTTCCATTATTCACTCAGATCTAAATACAATAATGATTTACTGACAATATTATCAATACTGGTGGAATGCACCACCTGAGTGCAGTGATAATACAGAAAGATACATCCTAGAAAGCTGGAAAGCGTAGGAGGGATGATAGTGTGATGTTTTATGTCAAATATGTATATTCATGAGCAGTGACATGGGGACATACAGTGGAAATGGAAATAGTGCATTAAAAAGGCACAAAGCAGGAAAATTACACTTGTAAGAGTATATCGGTAGGTAGCCTAATTTTTATGTATTTCTATGGATTTTCCATGGTAAACATCAAGCACAAACAAATTCTGGCTACTTCAAGATGACACACTTCTAGGGAAAACACAAATAGAGCTCCCTAATATAATAGAAACAAATAAAGACATCATTAAATGAACAATGTATCATTTTAGAAACCACATTTAGAATTTCAAAAGCAAACGTTTCTCCCAAAATTATAAATACTCTTCAGAAACATTTAGTCTTGTACATTAGACAACCAGACAATATAATCTGTTTGGTTTATTCTCTCTAATTTTATAGGGCTGTGCAGAAAATCTCCCTTTTGCTATGAGAAGACAAATTCTTTTCTCTTAATAAATGGTCCTTTACTACTTTATAAATCCCTATATTTAGTCCTTTATACTTAAAAAAATAAATCAATTTATTTGCAACAGCATACTGAATGAAATTCAGCATTTTATACCTAACCCCACCACTAGATATGTCACTGTTAACTATAGGGAGGAGAGACATGGCACCTTTTTATTGTACCTGCTTTGAAAGGGTTTTATACTGGATGAACAGTGTGGGAAGCTTTCCTACAATGAGACTGCCAGCTGTTGCTGCTGTTTTAAGCTCTGCATCTGTGATTGCCAGTATCATAAAGATGTAGTGGAAGGCAATGGAGAGGAAAAGGAAGAGAATAAAAGAACACATTAAGTTCTAATCCAATTCTGCATTGATTTTTTTATGAGATGTTGAACAAACCATTTAACTTCTCTGCATCATTCCTCCTTTTTGAAACAGGGATCATAGTCGTGTCCTACTCACTGCGGTTTTGCAGTGCTTCTTTCACTGGCATCCTCAAGGGTCTGAGATCTGCAAGCGGGAGATGTTAAGATGCATGATCATTTCCCTATAAGTCTGAGGCAGCAGCAGTGCTTTCCCTCGTACCTCCCATTATATGCTGCCTGGTCCAAAACCTCTGATTCCATCCAGCAGTGCCATGAGATTTGTTTCAACTGTTTTTTCTTTATAGTGTATTAACCAAAAAGGATGAAGTAGTGAAAGACTTTTTCTTTGTCTGGGCTTCAACTATTTCTGACTTAAAGGCCTTGTGTTTCATTGAGTAAGCCCAGATCTCACTTTGAGGGGGTGTTCATGTTAGTTCTGCAGCCATCTAATGTGACAGATTGTAACCTCAGGTCAGGCTTCTAGGGCACTAAGATAAGACAATTGTTGTTTTCACATCCTAGTCAAGTCAAGCCTTCCTTATCCTTTCCTTTTTCCTTTTTCTCTTTTTTTTTCCCCCTGATTGGTTTGTTTACTTTTCTAATGGTGCTGTATTTCTAGCTAGCACTCAGTACACAGATAAAACAGCACTAATCTTATCAGCAGGACATCTCAGTTAATTGCTTTAAGTTTGATGGTTACATAGAAACTGATCTCAGGTATTAAGCCATTTGTAAGAAATGCAGAGCTGATAAAAGTCTGTGCAGTTGTCCTCTGAGATAGCAAGGCATTTAAGCTTAAAGTGAGTCACTGAGGCTATTCAGATGTGTAACAGCTTTACTGAATGCCTCTTAAGGGTATTGCTAGAAAGACCTAGAAGATGTGTGTCCTGGATGACATTGGAGGACTCGGAGAGATATTCTGCACCCCAAAAATTTCTGGTTTAAGGATGCTGAAGACAGTTGAGTTTCATCAGAACTGAATTTTCCTGTGTCACTTCCTTTTCCTGTGTCACTTCCCCTTCCTCCCAAAGTGTGAAAGTATGTGAGCTGTAAGCATAAACGCAAATACAACGAGCTGTTACTTTGCATCTTCAGTGAGGATATTTGGTGGCACTGAGCCCACAGCTTCCATGCCCTTACCTTTGCTCTGTAGTCTTTCATTGCTCATCTTTTTAATTGCAGTTAAACTTTAAAGTATTCTAGTTTTCTCTGAAGTGTTGAAGCTGGGCTGGAGGGAAGACATCATAGTTCTCTTTGAAGCTTAGCCCTTGGAGATGAACCAGTTGCTGAACTTCAGAGGACATGGTGGAGTCCCTCTGCAGACCAGATTGCTAACCTTCATAAAGTGATTGGGCTGCTCAAACATTCCTGAATTCCATGGGACAAGAACAGTCTTCTTTTTACACTGACATTTTAAAAATATTAATTTAACTGGGATTTTAAGAACCCTTGTCTCTAATGACTACACTACCTCCAGAGAAAAAAATGTATGTTGAAGGATCAGGCTTCCTCAAAGGAGCGAGAGTACTAGACATGTCTGCTGTCCTTCTCAAGCGGAACTTTTGTCTCCGAGGAAAATACGGCTAGAAATTCAGAGTCCTCTAAGGAAAGAAAGGTTCAGTGTTACGGGCTTTGGGAGAAGGGAGTGGAGGTCATTGGCCATGGTGGAATCTGAAAGTATGGTGGTAGGCCACAAGAGATTGTGCTAGAAGGAAGACTTAGAGATCACAGGCTAATATTACTGGCTTGCTAACCTGTGAAAGCTGTTGAAGCTTGCTAGTAATGAGCATTCAAAATGAGGTGATTGGAAGATGACAGGTAATCTTCGCCCCATTCTGAAAGCTCTGTCAGAATCAAAACTGCATAAAAATGGTCACGACCAGCTAAGTCGTAAGCTAGGAGTGGTTGAGCAGATGCAAGACCGAAGTGGAAGTCGCTTCATGGATGATGTGGTGGATTCTTTAGCAATTTTTTCTAAAGCCATTTTCCAACACATGGCTACTCTGCAGGCTGGCAAAGCATGCAAGCAAACTAACATGTTGCAGCAGAGCATGCTGCTGGCATGTCTTTGAACCCTAACATGGGACCACAAGGGCAAGAAGATCCTTCACTGCGTCATATATCAGTCTGATCTGGGCACAAGCTTGAATACTCTGGGAGAACAGTTCTTAGCCATCCTCTCTTTTGAATGAAGCCATTAGAAAATGTTCTTCAGCCTGTTTGAGGAAGTATAGTGGGTTTGATACCCAAAAAAGCAGTGATGGTGTGCCCTTCCAAAAGCAAAAGATACTCTGGACTTTATGGATGTAGATCTGGAGTCTCTTTTAGGGTCCACGTAAAAGGACTTTTAATATCTTTCTCATTCCTCTCAATCCCAGAAAGCTTAGCAACCTCTATCTGTGAGCCCAAGTACATACTCACACACACCAGATTTTGGACAAGTTTGTATTTGCATCCAAACTGTTTCCCCATCTGCTCTTGCTAGTTATTACAGGCCATTCTCTGGAGTGAGGTATTCTGGCTGCCATAACATCTGTGAGTGTTGTAATGAGGTTGGTTAGAATGTAACTCACTGAAGCAGCAAGAACTAATCACAGTATATTGATATAAGATTTGCAGAGCCTTAGATGGAGAGTGCTGCAATAATCTTCTGGGTGTGCGTATGGGGTGGGGGGTGGAGGGAATTGTGTATGTACACGTGTGGTAGTAAAATTACTCATTAGCTGCAGTAGGTCTCATTATCTTAGGAAAGCACATCAATGATTCACGGCTTAACAGGGTGTTTGGAAATGCCTGCTTATAGGCAGAAGGCAGCCTGAACCAATATCCTGTGCAGTCCGTGAGCAGCTGTCTTGGATTGAAGGAATTTTAACTGCCCCTGTTTTCTCTCCCAGATACTGGAACTCCCTGAGTAACCTTGTGGCTTCGCTCCTGAATTCAGTCCGCTCCATTGCCTCCCTCTTGCTGCTTCTCTTCCTCTTCATTATCATCTTCTCACTCCTGGGGATGCAGCTCTTTGGGGGCAAGTTTAACTTTGATGAGATGCAGACCAGGAGGAGTACATTTGACAACTTCCCCCAGTCCCTCCTCACTGTGTTTCAGGTAAGGGCAAGAGGGGTCCCAAAGGGGCCAACACATTGTGTTCACATGGGGCGAGACAGAGCAAGTGCTGCATCCTTCCCCTGCAGCCTGACAGTCCCCAAGACTGAACATCAGGCTAACAGCTTCAGGAGCAAGATGCCACGCTGTGCTGCCAGCACAGGAGTATTCCCTCCCAAAGTGGGGAACCAAAGCTAAAGCCCCTGTGTGTAGTAGCAAGGCCACCAAGTCTTAGCAGGGTAGAACAGGTGAATGGCCATTTCCATGTCCCAGGACAGCACCTGCGTGCCAAACTCAAGTTTGTAGCTGTCCTCCCTGCTCCCACAGTACTGGTGAACACATATCTGCTCACAGTGCCAGAGAAGTAATCAAATGGCCTTTAAGCTGATTGCAGTTTTGGGAGTGATCAACCAAGAGCATCAGGATCATGATTTCATGTGCAAGGTGAAGCCAAGTGGCAGAGAGGGCAGCGCTGAGAGCTTTCTTCAGTGCTATAGGTTGTGCAGCTTGTCTGAAAAAAGCAGACGTGGGAGGGAAATGCCTGGGAGAGGTGGGGAAGCGAACAGAGTTCTCTGGGAGAACCATTTGGCTTCAGCCATCATCCTCAAAGGGACATCTGGGGTTTTTTTACACTTTAAGCACAGGCCCTCTTTGCATTCTCCTTGTTCTGTTTGGGTTTCATTTTCTAGATGGACACAGCTAGAATGTCCAACCATCCTGGGGGAGGGGGTGTTCTCTAGGATAGTAGATATCTTTGTGTTGTTGGGGTTTTCAAATTCTCTGTGTGGTCTAACACTGTATCCCTTATTGGTGGGAATGTGTCATTTAGATCCTGACTGGGGAGGACTGGAATTCGGTGATGTATGATGGGATCATGGCTTATGGCGGCCCCTCTTTTCCAGGAATGTTGGTCTGTATTTACTTCATCATCCTCTTCATCTGTGGAAACTGTATCCTTTGATGCTACTCTTTTCTCCAAGCGGGGCTGAATTTAAAGCCACCCTTTACTACTTTCTTACGTTAGAAAATTATGAATTTCATAGCTTACATTTTTACCTTTTCCCTAGGTCTGAATTTTGGTTTTGCACTGTCAAAAGTTAAACAAGTTTGTTTCATTTCAGTTAGTGCTAAGGCCTACAAATAGTTGTAAGAGCCAGCTAGGTGCCAGTTGCACATACTAGATTTTATTTAGTATCTTTACATGTTTAGTGGTTTTATTTTTCATTGCCCTTAATTCTCTCATAGGTTTTTGTTTCCTGCCTTCTCCAGAAACTAATCTCTGTGTGTACCTACTGTACTTACACCATATTTTTGCTTTAATTGCCTTTTCAGTAATATATTCCGTGTGCTTTCATCCAAGCCTTATGTGGAATAAAAATATGTATAATCTACAATATGCTATATACAAACGCTGTAATAGGAATAACATATGTTTGACATAATTGATTTATGTGAGATCATGTATTAATTCATGTATAAATTAAGAGGAACCGTGTTTCATTTCAGTTACTGCAATCTGTGTGTTCTTCAAACAGAAAATCATGTGCTCTGTTATCTTCAAGCCTGTGCTGGTGTAAGTAACTTCAGTTCTCTCCGGCTTGAAGGTGAAGTGAGGGCACTGTACATATCCCAGGAGGTACAAAGCATGTTGCATGACTAGGCTGTGAGTGTCTTTTCACAGGAATTTGCATATAACATACAGCTATAGTTCTGTTCCATATCTCAGTTTGCTCCAGATTTGTTCATGTTTAGTTTCTGCTTCCCTAATAAATGGCCCTCTTGTGTCAGAGGTGACATTTCTTTTTATACTGATTCTTCTATAAAGTCACCTTGTAGTCTCAGCCCAGCTCTTCTGGCCTTTCCTCATAATTCAGATCTCTCAAACCCTGTTATTTGACATTTCAGTTGACCTGCATGCCCTCTCTTCAAAGTAAGATGGTGCAATTCCACTTATCTGGAGGTCGAGGTAGGCAGTCTGCCTGACAGCTTAAAAAAGCTGCAGTTTGGATCTCCTTGTGAACAGCAGAGGAAAATGTGACTTTGGAGCCATTAGACCTTGGAGCCTAGGGAGTGGGGTGGCTGTATTTCAAGTCTAAACCTTGAACTGGGGTTTACTTAAAAGTTATCATGGTGTAATAAGACCCACTCTCAAGAAATATATAAAAGAAGCTGATGTTCAGATTTGTAACGTGAGATCTGAACGCTGATTGAGAAAACAAGAAAACAGTTGTGGTTCCTTGCCCTTCAGCAACGTGGGCATGACTAGCCATGCATGGTCTCTCTGCTAGGAGATGGCAGAGTTATCAGCTCAACGTTTCAACGTCCAGACTAAATGAATTTCTTTTTGGTTGCCTCAGAAGTGCTAATTAAGAGTGCTATGCTTGCTGTCCATAAACTCCACTCATGTCTGTGGGAAAACCTATAATGAGGTTGTTCAACTCAAGTACATAGGCCAAAACTGAAAGCCCAGTTTCCTTATGGTATAAGGCTCTTGAATATAAGAGTGTTTTAATAAAAGTGATCTAAGCTCTCAAAGATGCAAAGCATCCACGTTCCGCTTATCTTCAGTGGGATTTATTGCACAATGCAAAACTCTTTTAGGAAATCAGAAACTGAACTGTAAGCCTGGACTTAGACGTTTTATATCACTCATTCTGCTGTGAAATTTTGGAAACCCCACAGAGTGTGTTAGCCATTTGGATGGAAGGTGTAGGTTTGTGCATGCTGGATATGCACATCCTGAACATTTGTGTGAAATGGAAGTTTGGAAAATCCAAGAGATCTGATGACGGGTTGCTAAAAATTTTCAATTGAGAAACCTTTGGTGTAATGTTGTTCTGCAGTTTTCGAAGCCCATTTTCTTTAAGTAGCACACAGATAAATATTTTTGGCCATTGCTGTGGACAACCTTGCTGATGCTGAGAGTTTAACATCTGCACAGAAAGAGGAGGAAGAGGAAAAAGAAAGGAAAAAGCTAGCTAGGTAAATCAATTTGCATACACCTATCTGCATTCATATGAATGCATTCCTGTAGGTATAATTACACACATTATGCACAAATATATGTGTGCAAGAAAGTATGTTTGTATATGTAATATATATGTATAACTTCTCTGTGGGTATGTATAGATTATATATATGTTATTAATGTAATTATATATGGAATTGTGTATATATCATTTTTTACGTAAAAAAAATCAAACTAAAGAAGGTGTCATGAGCTGGGAGTCCCCACAGTTGCAATAATGTGAGCAGAGGAAAGGAAGTTTGGGTGACTGATGATCTTTCAGGGCATCAGCAGAGAATGGGCATGAAATGGTGTCAATGTTACAATTCTCTTTGAATCTCCCTGTTTCCTTCTGATTGCTTTGGACCACAGGGCATGTTTTCAGGCTGTCATTCCCACAACAAGATTCAGCAGCTTCCTTGTCTTTTTATGCCACATGCTGTTCTTCTCTTGCCAGTTCTTTTAGTGTTTCTACAGACTCTTAGGAGGGATGAGCTGGATGTAGATCTTCCCTGTCATTCCCAGCTGACAACAGTGAGGAAGTCTCTCCATACTCGTTATTTCTATTCACTGTCATCCAGGCTAATTGGAGGGGATGTCTTGTGCAGATCTTTCTGCTTCATCCTGCATGCTAGTCAGCAGGTTTCACAGAATCACAGAATGGCAGGGGTTGGAAGGGACCTCTGGAGATCATCTAGTCCAACACCTCTGCTAAAGCAGGTTCGCCTACAGCAGGTCGCACAGGACTGCATCCAGGTGGGTTCTGGATATCTCTAGGGAAGGAGACTCCACAACCTCTCTGGGCAGCCTGTTCCAGTGCTCTGTCACCCTCAGGGTAAAGATTTTTTCCCTGGCTCTGAGAGTGCAGTGAGGGGCAAAAATTTGTAGGCAACCTAGTGGAAGTCCACAAGATAAGGGTTGAAAATGGTTCATGCCTTTGTCATTGGATGAACAAACAGGTCTCTACTGAGAGGCCCAGAATATGCGTGTGCACAAACACACAGGCACATACTTCCTACACAGGCACATGCGCACCCATCTACGCACAAACACACGCCATGTAAAAGCTATAAAATAAAAGGACACTATATAGAATTAGAGCAGAGCCTCTGCCTTTGCCTGCAGATGAAAACATGGTGGAGCCACTGGCGTGTAAGCTGGGCTCAGAATGGAGTGCCAGCCAGCTGATCGTTCTCATGGTGTGTGCTGTACTACGTGAAGTTCCTGAAAGGGAAACAGCTTTTCACCTTTGTAACTCTTTGCTTTTTATCTTGTAAAACTGTTAGAACTGCCAGTCCCGAAAAGAAACAGGAGATAGAAAAAACAGCTGTGGAGGAGGAGACAAAGGAGGAGAAAATTGAGCTGAAGTCGATCACTGCTGATGGAGAATCCCCGCCTGCTACCAAGGTAAGGTCTGCTGCCAGCCAGCGCTGTCTGTGCAGTGATGGCATGAACAGCTTGGGCTTCTGAGGGAAAGAAAACCCTCTGCCTTGTCTGATAAAGGCTTTGCTGCTTCTCCTTCCATTTATGTCAGATCAACGTGGATGATTATCAGCCCAATGAAAATGAAGAAAAGAGCCCATATCCCACAACAGAAGCGCCAGGTATATATCTTCTTCCTCTTATTCTTGATTTGACAAAGAGAAGCTCCAGTTGCTAATGCACATAAAGCCAAATTGTGGTAACAGGTACGCTGAACATGTTATGCTTTTATGACAGGACAGGATGATGTGCTGGCCCGTGTTTGCACAGGTGTGGATTTGGTCCTTTGCAGACCCTATACTGATTAGTCATATTTGATTTGGTTCTCTGTAAAGCTCTGTATTTGGAAATATACATACTCATATTTGGAAATACAGAGCTTTACAGAGAACCAAATCAAATCATACACAAATCTCTGTATGTGAAAATACACATATGACTTTTTTTTATAATCTATTTTTTGGTACTCAGTGGTCAGGGGAGACTCACAACAGATACTCATAAAAGGCAAAGTGCTGAATGCCTTTTTGCACTTTTTTTCTAATTAAAAAAAGACAGTGTGACATTAACATAATTCTAAAGACATAAGATCTTTGTCTAGAATTGGTAAAAAACAGGCTAGAGCATTAGTTAGGCTAATTTTCAAGTCAGTTGGACGTAATTAACTTCATCCTTAGATACCTGAAAGATTGGTTGAAGAAATCTCAGAACTTCAAGCAGTTTTTCTTCAAGAGATACTGAATGGAGGGTGGGGTTGGAGCAGAGGAATTATAAGCTAGTCAGTTCAACTTCCATTCTTGGAAAAGTGCTGGAACAAATGATTAAAAAAGCTATATGACTGCAAGATAAGGAGATGACTAGTAGCCAACATAAATTTGCCAAGAACAAAACACATCAAACCACCCTTATTTTCTTCTAAAAGGGGCTGACAGGACTTGTGGACTGAAGAAAAGAAGTAGATGTTATTCTTTAGCTATGCTAAGGCTTCTGATTGTCTCTTAAAACATTCTCATAAGCCAACTAGAAAAACATAGTCTAAATGATTGAGAGAGAAATTGGTCAGACCCTTTATGTGGAAAGTAGTGATGACCCAATTGAGGTTCTACAACCCAAGGGCCTGTCCCAAGTTCAGTTCAGTTCATTGTTAATGACCTGAATGACAGAAGAAATAATAGGCTTATTACATTTGCAGATGACCTGAAGCTAGGAAGGACAGGAAGCATGCTGGAGGACAGCATTAGAATTCAAAGAGCTCTTGAGGAACTGGATAAATGGTCTAAATAAAATTGAAAGTGCCAGGCTTTACACCTAGACAGGAGTTAACAGCTCACAAATAAAGGATCTTAGGTGACAGCTAGTTAGGTAACAGTCCTTGAAAAAAGAATGTGAATCTTGTGATCACAAGCTCAACAGGTGCCAACAACATTTTGCTGTCTTTCAAAAGGCAAGCAAGTAGTGAGATTTATAAATAATGAAAACATGATCCTTTAGTCCAGTTATGGGTTTCTTCTACCCGGCCAGTGAAAGCTAAAGAGAGCAAAGCAATTGTTTTATTCTGTTCACCACTGATAAGATCTCAGCTGGGATATTATATCTCATTTTGAGTGCTCTGCTTAGGAGAAGCAGGGCTCAATCGGAAGAAGTGTAGAAGAGCATGGCGAAAACGATGCTAATAGGAACCAAGAAATAAGATTGAAAGCACTGTGGTCATTTGAGCTAGGAAAGGCAGGAGAAACATCTTCAAATGCATAAAAGCCTGTTACGGGTAGGAGGGGAATTATCTCGATTATGAAGAAACAGATTTAAGATTTAGACCAGGGGAGAATTTTCAATGGTGGGGCTGGAAAAGATTGTGAAGATGGTTGTGAAAGCCCAGCATCACTGAATGTTGCTAAGAACAGATCAGAAATACATCTGCCAGAAAAGGCTTAGGAACAATGATTAGCTGATCCTGGCTTAGCAAAAGCATGAGCCAGAGGGCCTTTTTTGATCCTTTCCTGCTCTGCTCTTCCGCGTTTCTAGTATATAACAGGCTGTAATAGGTGATAAAACACATGCTTTTCTATTCCATGATTCCTAATAAATGTCTGATAATAGGTTGATGTGGTAGGGTAAAAAAAGACACAATAGTTCATCTTAAATAGATGGACAAGGACTTCGGACAAGCAAAAAGAAAAATTGTTCATTGCATTAGATTTTCAGTACAAAAAAATCCTTGGTTTTGCTGTACTTCTATTCGTCCATATTTATAGCCCTTTATCAGGAACACAGTATGGTTCCAACACTGTGCAATACTGTTTTAACATTGGCTGGGGCAGATCACTCTGGCTTTAAACTTCTCAGCACCTCTGTAGGCACAGGCAGTTACTGGACATGCATGCCCAGTTGCTAAGGGGTTTGTGTGAGTCTTTAGTCAGAAGCACAAATTAAAACAGTTCTGTTTCTCAGCTGGCTTGGGTTTGCAGACCATTACATTTTTTTCAAGTGAAGGTACAGTCACCTGTGTATCAAATTTGAGCCTAATGATAATAGAATTGTGTTTTAGTTACCTTCTGTGGAGAGCTTAGAAATAGTCCAGCATGTGAACTATACGACAAAAACTACATCTACAATTTGTGTCATGGACATTTTATCTGCAGCCACGCACAGGATTAGAGTGCAGAAAATTAAGTACAAACACTCTTAATTCCTGCCAGTCCCTGGCTTGGCGTAATTTTGAACAGAACCTAAAATTTGCATGGATGGTCAGGTTTTCTCCTGTCTCCTAAAGTATTAGAAATGCAAACAGTATCTTGGTAATTTGCCATTGTATGATGCCATTTCTAAACAGGCCTGTTCCCTGAATTGTTTATCAGTTCTTTGTGAAGTTGATCTCTAACAGGTCATAAAATTACCTGACCACGTATTTCAGAGTTCATGGAAGTCAAACATAAGGCTCAGATGCAGTAAAGTTTTGTAAATCCATTGTTAGATCGGATTTACCACAGTCATCTATTCCATTCTGCTGTATAAAGCTCAGAAACACCAAGACCCTCTCAGAGCTGATGTGACATGTCACATCTGCCTCCTGTAGTCAGTTTTTGGGAACAAGGCTTTCCCCAGCATTAGCAAGCAAGAATTTCCCAGTCCCCACAGGTACCCCTGTCCAGTTCCCTTGTGGCCATCTGTCCAGTCCAGAATCCTTCTGCTGATTGTTGATCGGTCCAGCTGTGGTACAGGAGATGCTATGTGGCCATATACAGCCCATCCAGGAACACACCTTTTCTTGCCCATTTGCATATGGATCCATTTCAGCTGTGCTTTGAGTGAAGCATCCTATTGCTTTTTAGAAGCAGTCAGCTGTTTCTACCTGTTTACGATTTAAACTGTTAATGCCTGCCCCTTTTCCATGGCTGTTTACCATTCCATCCTCTGAAAACATCCTTCACCCTAGCCCAGCATTCAGAAGCAATTTGAAATTGCCAATTCATTTGTTTTCCCTTTATTCTTTCAACCTACCTTGCTCAGTCTCCTATTTGTTTCTACTGCCTCAACTGGTTTTCTCAATAATCTCTTCTGACTCTATTTGCTACACAGAGTTGCTCTTAGGCCCCAGAATACTCTGTGTACTTGCAGCTCATCAGATCACCTATCATCTTTGTTGGAAGGAGAGATTAGTTCTTCCAGAGGTTTGTGTACACCAGAAGGATTATTATGAAGATATGTTTATTATAGGAAGACAGGGAGCTAGTCTTGCAGTCTAGTACAGAAACAGATGAATTCAGAATGTCAGATGAAGGTCAAAGCTTGGGATGATTCATGGGAGCTTGAAGCAAAGCAATGTCCTTACACAAGAGTTCTGGTCTTTGTACAGTAAAAAAAAAAAAAGCCCTCATCATTGAATTTCTCACTGATGCTGCACTGTAGCCTGTGTGTGCTTATGGCTTCACAACCAAAGGACATCACCATTCTAATGAAGCATAATTCAAGATGACAGTCCCAGGTTTGAATTTCTTTGAACTTCAGGAGAGTTAAAACCTAGATCTGAACCTGGCAGCTCTGAGTCATGTCTCTTCATGATTTCTTGGCAAGCTTGACCAGAAGGGTCACTTTTTAAACACAAATATATCTTAGATCTAGAAAGCAGTCAAAGAACAAGTGTTGGCTTGTAGCCGATGCGCTACCTAGCTCATCTGTGGATACCGTGTCGACCTTTGCTTCTACAAATGCTGGCAACTGTACAACATGCTGTTTCTGTATGCAGGTAGTGACCTGAGCTGAGGCTGTAATCACGTTATTCTTGTGTATTTGGGCCTCAGTGTTTCCTTTCTTCTGTGCCCTGGACCCTATCATAAATGAAAAATATTTAGAACATTATTCTTTATCTATGGCTGAGGAACTGAACATGTTTTCCAGTCTGAAGGTATGTGGTTGACAGAATCATTAATGTATTTCTTGCTGTATGGCAGACACGAGAAAAAAAGGAGAGGAACAATGTTCTTTATGGACTTCATGGTGCTGATCCTTCTGCTAAGAGTTCATTTTCCTGAGGCATTGTTCTACACCCATTTAAAAGTGTTTTTTAAGCGTTCCTCAAAGTAAAAGAATGATCTAACAGAACAGGGACTCAGAAATAGTCTTCTTAAGTAAGAGTCTCAAATATCCCACATGATCATGGGCATTGGTATTCTGGACTGTTAAAGATGAAAAAGAATTTGCTTACCTTGCTCATTGTCAGCCCACTCTGAAACCTGTAGATAAAAGGTGCAAGTGCAAAATATTGTAATATTATAAAAATATGACCATTAACATTAACACCAATTTTACAAGTACTATGCACAAAAGTACTTCTGAAAGAATGTTTCTTTAACTAATAAAGCCTGTAGAAAGAGTATTATAAAGTATATTACAACATAAAATTGAGCTGTTAAAAAATAGACCGTCTTAGAAAGTACAAACTCTATGTACCTGCTCAAACATTTATACAAAAATCTATCAAGTGAATTTGAGCTGAACTCTTGCTACTGGAAGTGTAAAGAAAGAATCCTATTTGCATGTAATAATGACATGCATTGAAAAGGCCACTTTTCTCCTGTCTCCAACATTTAGATTAGGATCTGTGCTGATTTATCTGTTCTTTCTGATGTGTCCCATACCAGATCAAGTACAGTACCTAACCCTAAAGGAACAGGCTCTTCCTGGAATTAATCTTACTTTATGGATTCAAGACAAACCTTTTAACTAGTTTCCTCCTTTTTTTGCATTGGCTGGAAGATCAAGAACCTTTCAGGGTCCTTTCTTAAAATATTTTTTCCTGGCTTGCTGATTAAGTGAGAGGATGGGGATCTTTCAAATAGAAAAATCCTATCATGTAATTTACAAAAAAGCATCTGACTTCAGCAAGTAGAAGAAATCCTTAAAGGTGGAAGGTTCTTTTTCACATACCACTCAGACCCTGTCTCTGCATTTTTTTCCTTGACGGTGCTCAGTGATCTGCACAATGCCTGGAGATCTGCTCCACAGGCATCAAGTTCAAGAGTCTCAGCCTTGTTCCCACCTTTTCAATCTTCCCCCCACTGAATTATGAAAGGGGACAATTTTAAGAATTTCTGATTAGTGTAAGTCAAAGTGTCCATGTTCCATGTTTGCTCTGGGGCATACATGCTCTCATCCAGACACAGTCCCAGAAATGGCAGTGGCTCCATGGAGAGCCTTACAAAGTAGAGAAAAACAGATCTTGGTAAACTGGAGAAACGGTTTGAAGAAGATAGGATTCAGCTCAATAAGGATGATGTCCAAGTGCCGCTCTTGGGAACAGACAGCAGCACAAATGCAGAGCTGGGAGTGACACGTGAGGCAGCCATTCTGTGGAAAACACTCTGTGCTTTGTGCAAATCAGAAACTGATGGTAAATTAATGCCAGAGTGTAATGAAAAGAAGTGACCATGAAGGACATTTAGACAGGAAGACAGTATTATAAGACACAAGAAGTAATCCAGCTCTCCTCTGCACCTGTAAAACCTCAAGTGCAGGTTAGTCCTGCAGATAATCTGAAGGAAAGTAGTAAGAATGGTCAGAGACCTGGGGAATACAGGCTCAGGGAAGACTGCTGTTGTTTTGCTCTAGGAACCAGAAATCCTTGCAGAGGCATAGTAGTGGTCCTCAAGTATGTAAAAGCCTTCTGCAAGAGGAAGGAAATTCTCTATTTTCTGTATCCATGGAAAATAAGAAAATAGATAATGGATTTGGACCTTAGCAAGAAAGATTCAAGTCAGACATTAAAGAAGCTTTGTTTGCAGAAAGGACAGTGAAGCATCTGAGGAGGCTGTTGTGAGGATGTTGTGAGTTTACCAGCATTGATGGTTTTACAGAGCAATGAGATCAATGTCTGCCAGGGTGAGCACAGGGCAGTAGATGCTGCCTTGAAGAAAGGAAGTGGACAAAGAACCTCAAGCTTTCATCATCCTATTTCAATGATTCTTAGTTTTTAGGTCTAGTTATGACAGAGACAAGTGCCCCAGCACTCCAGAATGGATTGTATTTTGCATTAAAAGACAAAAATGTTTCTTGCAGCAGAGGAAGATGAGGAAGAACCTGAGATGCCTGTCGGCCCTCGGCCTCGCCCAATGTCTGAGCTGCACCTCAAGGAAAAGGCTGTGCCCATGCCTGATGCCAGTGCTTTTTTCATCTTCAGTCCTAACAACAGGTATTTAAGAGACTGCTTAGCTGGAACAAGGAGGCAGAGAGCAGGTACCCCTTTCATGCTGGGCCCCAAATGTTATGTGGTTCAAAGCTCCCTTCCAGCAGTTCCTACCAGAGACTTCCTTTGACCAGTCTCTCCCTTAAAGGCCCTGGCATGAAATCCTCATGAAAGCACAACTGTAGGGAGTCCCCTGACAATATTCAATGGGAGTTCATAGCACCTGCAAGGCTGATTGAAGAAACAAATCATGAAAGCTTTGGAAATCAGGGACTTGGAGGCAAGTCAGTAACTGGAACTCCCCAACATATTCAGGTCCAAATAGCAAGCAATCCATCATGCAATCAGTCAAGCATGAGGTAGGAGCTTCCTCTACTAATGGCTGCTCAAAATCCACACACTGTGTCTCTGCTCATTCCTATGCATCAAGAATGAGCATAGAAGAAAAGGGAGGAAGAGAATGAAAGCCTATAGCTCTGAGGGGATGCTGAGGAGAATAATTCCTCCCTTGGACTCCTGCAATGTGGCTTCACATTGCCCCACCTGACTTTCCAACACAGGTGTGTGAGACCAGTACTATGAGTGGAGGGCTGAGCTATGAAACAGGGAAATATATCTTTCCAAGGGTGCAGAAATGAGCTCACCGCCCAGCGGTCTGTCCAGTACCATGTATCCCAACATCTCCCTTAGGGACTTCGCCTCCAAACACAGCCCCAAACTAAGGCAGGGCTGTAAAACCACAGCTGAATTCAGAGCCAGCCTTTCCACAGCAGGGCTCTGAATACCTCCTTGGGTATGTGCAGCAGGGAGGGACTGATGATGATTGGGACTCATGGACTGTACTGCCAGCTTTGCCACCCACCCACTGTCACTTGTTGAAGAAGGAAATTAACCTCTGCAATCATCTGTAAAATTGATATAATGGGGCTTGGAGGCTTAACAGCCAAAAGTAGAGCTAAATAGATTAATGAAGTGCCTCTAGAATTATGCATAGGAGTGTTAGGAGGTTTAACTCCTTGTATCCTGATACCAACGTATGGAAGGTGCTGTAACGGTCTCCAGTAAGCATGCTGCTGTTTAATGGGAGACTGCTACTTCTTTACCTGCTAGTTTCCCACTAAAAGCACAAGCAATTTATATGGGGCTGATGTTTAGCAGACATCCTGCATGGCATGATGTCCCCCCAGAAGTCCCTTGCAAATGCCAGCCTGGCCTATATCCATTTGGCCAGGTCTGTACCTTCTTAGCAAGGTAGATCCCCCATAGCTCCTGCTCAGTCACACTCCAGCCCCAGCTCAGAAAGACATTGGACACCCTGAATCCTGTTTCTGCTGCTTTCCATCTAAATGAATGGGAAATGGTTCTGTAAATGAAACCAAGGGGTATAGTTTTGGGTTGGCACATCTAAATCACCAAAGACTCTGTCAGGAGGGAGTGACTGCTCTCCATTGAAACACACCAAGTGTGAGTCCTGCAGGCAGCCAATCACTCCGTGTGCATCACTGCGTGATGTGGAGAGCCAAAGCCACCCAGCACCCAGCAGGACCGAGCACAGCTGCCCAGGCCCATTGTTCTCCCTGCTGCTGGAGCAGAGGGAAGCTGCTCTGCAGAACAATCCTTCAGGGCCAGCCCTGCTGGCAAAAGAGGAGGGGGGAATGTTTCCCAGGTCTTGCTGCTCTCTGAGAGATAAAGTGGTGCCTCTCCTCTCTCTTGCAGGTTTCGTGTCCACTGCCATCGAATCGTTAACGATAACATTTTCACCAACCTGATCCTATTTTTCATCTTGCTCAGCAGCATCTCCCTGGCAGCTGAGGACCCCGTCCGACACCTCTCCTTTAGGAACCAAGTATGCTTCCCATCCTCCTTCCGTCGCTGTGTATTAAAAGTGGTACAAGCAGATGATGAGTTGAAACCAGGAATGGCAGAAAAGATTGTATCAGACGCTTTGGGAGTGACTCTCTTCCCTGATTTGTGCCTTTATAGGCTGTGTATGAAATCATCGGGTTTTACAGGGAACATGAGTCAGTGCAGAATTTGGCCTCTAGTTCTTTTCAGAAGCATGTGTAGGGGAGGGAAGGACAGGAGGCTGAAGGAAAATTATTGTTCTCTGGGATTAAGGCAATAGAAATGGGCTGTAGAAACAATGATTGGGATGCAGATAATTCTAATTTGGGGGATTTGCAAGTTCCCTTTGGAACATCTGCTCTCCCGCCACATGCTCTCTCTTGAACTAAAAAGCCCAAGGCCTGATTTTCACTTTGTTCACACTGGTGTAAATCTGGAGTAACATTCTTGAGTTTGATGCAGTCACTCTTGGAAATTGGTGTCATCAAGGTTAGAATCAGACTATGTGAACACAAGCTGCAAAGCTATCATTAGATTTGAGATAATCCTTAGAAAATATGCTGTACTCCCCTCCTTACCGTCCTGGGGGAAGGAGAGGAAGGCATTCAGAATGGAGATACATTCTCACCTTCTTTCTTGACCGTTCTTATTAGTTTTTTG